CCCCCCCCCCCCCCCCCCCTCCCTCCCTCCCTCCCTCCCTCCCTCACTCGGGCTCTTCAACGTCTCCTACCTTGCTGGAGAACAAGTCCTCCGTTTTCTATCCGCACCTAGTGACCTCTCAGTCCATAGCGAAGGATTCACACGCGAAAGTGTCAATTTTCCCTCACTGCTGACAAACTCCACCACCACTACTGTTACCCAGTCTGCATCACCTGATGTGGCTGTTCCAGGCGGGTCACTCGCACAGGACCAGAGGTCGTTGTCGTGACGTTGGGTCTGCGCAACAAGACAGTTGAGACTGAAGTTCATCGAAAAGAACAGTTGAGTACAGTCTGGTGTCTCCGATTTCGTCTCCATCGTCGTCTGCCCGAATCATGATCAGACGAAGGATCGTTAAGAGGTAGAATGTGTTTGCATGTTACCAAGGTTTGCAGCAAACTTGTCCCAGGCCTTGTACCGATCCATGCTCACCGATACTTTGGGTTTCCCTGGCAATTGCGAATCAGTATTGCTGGAACTTGCTAGAACGGGAGTGTTTGTTGGTGATCCTCTCATAGCTACTGTCCTCCATCCTAGTCATGTCTGATGCCAGCATGTCGCCCTCGTTCTCTGCGCATGGACCATGTCAGGCCCCTCCATCAGCCTTGCACCCCCCATGGAAGGCGGTCGAATCCGACTAGCATGCTGGGTGGTGGAACAATTTCTTTAGTCAACTTCGTCACATATAATGAATTTATCAGTCAAGTAGCTAAATGCCTGTCAAAGATACAAAAATATCAGTCAAGTGAATGATAAATTTAGTCAACTGAAAAGGTACGGCTGTGTTTGCCGCAACAGGTCATGTAACGGTCAGGGAGGCCGTCGGGCGGCCGAGCAAGGAGAGGGGGATACGCGAGGAGGATCGAGGCAAGGAAGGAGAGGAACGAGCGCTGAAGGGGACGGGGAGCTGAGCTGAAGGTGCTGAACCCCAACGGCTCCTTGAACTTGTGATCCTGAACGCGTGTGAACGCGTGCCAGTCGTTTGAGGATGAACGGAGACAAGCAAGACAAGCAGAAGCTTGCGCATGCTGCGGCTGTGAGAGCGAAGAAGTCTAAGAAAAAGGCATGGTGGGCCTTCAGCAGGAGCCAGATCATTGTCTCTGTTGCCGTCGTGCTGCTTGCGATTGGATATCACCTGTACAAGAACAGGACATCTATCTTCGGCAATGAGAAGAAGTCTCAGGCGAACGAGGCTCTTAGAATAGGGAACATCCACCTGGAGCAAGGAGATTTCACCACAGCAATCTACTACTATGAGCTGGCGACGAGGCTCTATCCCTCTCTGACTAGTGCCTGGACGAACATGGGAACAGCGCTTACCTCCCAGATGAGGCGCATGCTGAACAAGGAGCCGATCTACAAGAGGGCGGTGCAGGCGTACGAGAAGGCGCTCGAGGTCTCACCCTCGGACGTGGACGCTGCGTTCAACCTCGGAGTTCTGCACCAGTCGATGGAGAACGTGGACCTGGCCATCCCATGGTACAAGAAGGCCCTCAGCCACGACCCCAAGCATTTCGATGCCCTCGGAAACCTGGGCAGCGCGCTTCACAAGAAGTCCGATCTCGATGCAGCCATAAAGGCCTACATGGAGGCCATTGAGATTGTACGGGAGCTCGATCAATCGCTTGTCGACCAGCAGCAGGTCTCGATGCTCTATTATCTCGCCGGCGCTGCGTTCTCGTCTAAGCCTGCGGAGAGCTGCGGCGAGGTGAATTGTATGGAAGAAGCTGTGGAGAAGCTCAAGCTCTCCTTGCAACACAACCCGAAGAACGAAGAGGCCAAGCACGCTCTCTCCGCCTTGATCGCTGACCCCAACGTCACCGCGGCCTCCAACGATTACATCAGCACGCTATTCAACGAGTACGCGGCCACGTTCGACAAGTCTTTGGTGCAGGACCTCAACTACACGGTACCGCAGCAGATGAGTGACGTCATCGCCACCGTCATGACGCAGAAGCGCGTGAAGAGCTTCAACAAGGTGGTGGACGTCGGATGCGGCACGGGCTTGCTGGGCCCTTATCTTCGGAATGTCTCCACCTCCTTGATTGGCATCGACTTGTCCGTGGAGATGCTTGAGTATGCTCAGCAGCGCCAAGTGTACGACATGCTGTACATCGGAGAGATCAACTCGACTCTACAGCTGTGGCAGAACAAGTCAGACACAGAGAACTTCCGGCAGCTCGACCTCATTACCGCAGCTGATGTGTTTGTGTACGCCGGGGACCTGCAGCCTTACTTCCAGTCTGCAGCAGCTTCACTGAAGAGGAACGGATGGTTTGTCTTGTCGCTTGAGCGTCTCGAGAAGAACGAGTCGGCAGCAGAGGACACAAATGCTGCCGAGCCTGCGGCTGAGGCTTCCGGTGCGTCTTTCGGGCTCATTTAACTTGTATGTTGTTGATCAGATCACAGGAGAGGCGAAGGGGATGAAAAAATACTCCGTGACTGATGCAGATCTTAAGAAAGGATGGAAGCTGCAGCTGTCAGGCCGCTTTGCTCACACACGAGCGTATGTGGTCGAGCTCGCGAAGCAGCATCACTTCCAGGTTCGTGTTGCTCGTTGAGAGATTCTCTTCTCCTTCTCTTCTTCTCGTTCCAAGCTCCCTCCTCTTATTTGGATCTAAACTCCCCTGCCTGTGCACAATCTTCGATAGCTTCCCTTTTCTGATTTCAGGAACTCTTCTCCTGACCTGCAATTGTGCAGGTGCTGTACCACGAGAATATAATCCCGAGAAAAGACAACATGGTAGATGTGCAGGGCCAACTTCTGGTGCTTCAAGGTGATTGACTCTTGCGCCAAGACTCTGCTAACTCTACAACAGTCACAAAGTAAGTGAAAGAGAGAGAACAAATAATCTCGATTCATTCTTCAAATTCATCGTTGTAGTCCCTTTGGTGCTCCCTTCATAGAAAAATGAAGTTCCACCCAAAAATAAGTTTGATTCATCCTGGTCTTAACAACACACCCTAGCAGTTCTCCATCTGCTACTCCCCCCCCTACCAGTCCCCCGCCTGGTCGAAAAATAATATACTCCCGTGTCATAATTGCTTGCTTCCGTAGTCGTCCTTGACCAGATCATACTCTTCTCATTCCCTTACATCACTAAACTCCAGGCATCCCCTGTGGATGAAAAGTTCACAGGATTCTACGGGACAGCATCAGAATCGTAAGATATCCCCATTTCCTTCACCTGAGGCCTTGTGTTTCTCAACACGAACACCGGCTGAGGAGCGATGATGACCGTGTCTTGCAACATATCTGGGTTCAATCCCAGTATCCGCTCCACAGTCCATCTGCAGAGGTCGTCAGCCCAGTGGATTGTTGACATTGACTTGTGAAGGACAGAACCCTCGCTGAACTTACCTTGAAAGAAGTTTGGTCAACCTATACTCCCCATACACCCTGTGGCAGTTCCATACCACCAGGTCCCTTCCCACAGGGATGGCCAGGAGCAGAATTCCTCCCTCCTCCAAGATATCCTCAAGCTGCCTCATTGCGCGAAAGTCTCCTTGAGGATCAAGAGGGTCCCCGTAGCGGCCGAGGCCGTCGTGCTCGATGGAGGAGATGGAGAAGCCGACTTTGAACTTCTGCCGACCCTCTCCGAGCCCCCAGTACTCGTCGGGCGTGACGGTTGTGATGCCAGGATAATGATGGTCTACCTCGTTGTACTCGATCGTGTATGCATGGCTCGCGCCGTGCTCTAGCGCAAAGATCTCATACCACGGCACCAGACTGCCGATTATCACCACGTCCTGACCCTGCATTGTCTCCCACACACCACCCTCGCTGTCGTCATCGAACAGCTCGTACAACATCGCGTCGACATCCGCGTAATTCGTTCCTGCCTGTCGTCGTCTCACCATCTGCTTCAGCTCTTCGAGCACGTACTTGGGGAAGCTGTAGTAGATGCTCGGAACGCTGTCGTCTCGATACTTGTAAGCCGGCCCGATCTCGTAGTCATCGAGGTACTCGGCTTCCAAGTGATCTGGCATGTAACGAGGAGGACGGCTGCGAGGGTTTGGGAGCCTCTTGTGCTCCTCGACGTCTATGAGCAGCTTCTCCACATGAACTTCGCACGGGACATTAGACGTATCATTGTGTACATAACAGAACGGCATCAACTCGGAGCTCAGGCAACAAGTTTGCATCGCGACGAAGCGCAGATCCTGCCCTGTCTCCCACTTGACAGGGATTTGTTGAGAGTTGGAGTCTGTGAGGATTGTCTGTATGTAGATATCCGGAGCGAAATAGGACAGCGACTGGATTGCAGACTTTATCACCTCGTCCTTCAACATGTCGATCAGATTTTGACGATCTTCTGAAGTCAAGTGAGAGTACAAGTGAGGGTCACTGATAAGGTGAGCAAAGGCCTGGTACGACCTCAGGGTCTGGTTGTTCTCGAAGAATTTCAGCCTAGTCTCTGCTCCCTTGTGCAGGTATTGCCACGGGTCCAGAACATCGAAGTCTGAAGGACCCGCTGCGACATGGCAAAGGGAGGCCACCAGGGAGAAAGCGACCAGCAGCATGCTGACAGCAGCATCTGTCCACCTCATCCTACCATGATCGCTGCTCTTAACCACTGCCGCCATCATCCCCGCCGACATGGCCGTACTGTTACTCCATGCCTGTCACTGAGTGTCGAAGAAACAAACCTTGCGGCTCTCTGAGGCGGGGGTGAGTAAGGTATGTTATCTAAAATGTTTGATCAAATAATTGAGTAAAGCTCACCGGGAGGTCCAACGGCCCATGCAGCATTGCAAGCTGAGGTGAGGAGCAGGAGCAGGAGCAGGAGCAGGAGCAGGAGCAGGAGCAGGAGCAGGAGCAGGAGCAGGAGCAGGAGCAGGAGCAGGAGCAGGAGCAGGAGCAGGAGCAGGAGCAGGAGCAGGAGCAGGAGCAGGAGCAGGAGCAGGAGCAGGAGCAGGAGCAGGAGCAGGAGCAGGAGCAGGAGCAGGAGCAGGAGCAGGAGCAGGAGCAGGAGCAGGAGCAGGAGCAGGTAGTTGATAAACACACAAAGGAAGAGAGAGAATGATTGTTCTCCAAGAAGAAAGCAAGGCATGATGATTTGTGCAACCCCTTCAGATTATTGATTGATTCTTTCATAGAGCAAGAGAAAGGGTTTTGGAAGACTCAATACTGCAGAGAGGCTATAGTTGAACTGTCAATGATGGAACTGATGTATTTTTTTTCACGTCTGTAGGTCTTGAAATATTGGGCCATGATCTCATCTACTACTATCATCGCTGTTTGAGAATGCCTGTCGGAATTATCCCCCAACGGGGAGGGGTGAAAACCTCCAACGAACGAGATGAGCCAAAGTCGCAGAATGGCTTTGCCAACAGCGTCATGAGCAGCGTTGGGGTCTACACGCGTGAGAGAAGATCCATCCACAGCTTTCGCCTCAAAGAGCCGGAGACTCCGAGGACTGGACGACCTTCTAGTCGGGCGTTGCGGGCGCCAACCCCGAAATTCAACGAGAAGGAGAGGAGTCTCATCGACCATCTGGACCAGCAGACGTATGAGGAGCTACAGAACTTGAACAGCAGGCTGCAAGAAGCGAAGTCGAGGCATCTTCTTGAAATCAAGAAAGCGAGTGAGGAAAAGATAGAAATGGAGAGAGAGCTGGAAAAAACCTTGATGCAATTGTCCAATGCAAAGCAGAAAGGTCAGGATATCATGCAATCGCTCAAGAACGACAGGAGATTTCTGTCCACAGTCATGCTCAAGTACAAGACTCTCATCTCCAAGTTCGAGGCTCAGAAGCTGATGGCAGATCTAACAGACACAGAGGAGATTTCTTCTCTACGGCAAACGCTGGCAGACCTTCGAGCTCAGATGTCTCAGGCTCAGAGTTTGGCAAAGATCCTCAAGAACTTGGAGCAAACAAAAGTAGAGGCGAGCGAGCTCGCAAACCTCCTCTACTTTCACAAGGTAGACCTCGCACTTGTTCAGGCGGGGACCCGCAAGGCCATAGCAAAGGCGCAACTGCACAAGAACTCTCTTTTCCAGGCTCTGATTGAACTTGAAAAACGCATGCTGTCCGCAAAGCGGGACAGGGAGAGGCGCCTGACAGATCTCGTCGAATCCAGGAAGCTAACGAAACAGATGTCCATCGACGTGGAGGCTGAAGAGGAGGAGATCATCAGAAAGGAGATCTCGTGGTTGAGGGAGCAGCTGGACGATAGGGAAGGGAGTCTTTCCTCTTCCCCTGTCACTTCCACTGCGAACGTGAAGTCTGTCTCGGGGGACACCCTCCCGAACAGCCCGGGAGCGGAGGCCGGGTCCTCCCAGTACAAGTCTCAGATGACAATCCTCAAGCAACAGGTCGAAGGACTCGAGAAAGAGATCGCAGCGATAGGAGGTGACAACGTCTGGTCCAAGTCTCTTTCCTCCAGCCCAGGTAGAGCTGGAAAAATCCGGCCTAGGCCCAGGACTGCCCATCTGCATGGAGACGATCGCTCGCAGAGCAACGAGGAGAGGGTGGCGAGGCTACAGGATCACCTTCTGAGGATCAAAGAACAAATCAGGAAGACAGAAAGCAACTTGGATAAGGAGCAGCAGGAGAGAGAGGCAGAGGAATACTTTCGCAGTCAGAACTCGGGGATCAGAGCGACGCTGAATATGGAGGCTCTGAATGATGAGAAACGGAAGATCACCGAAGACATTGAATGGTTTGAAGAACTGCTGGACAAAGCGGCCAATTCTGACAATGAGTCTTCGAACCGAATCACCAAGCTGCAAGAGCTACTGGAAAATGACCCGAGTCACAGGAATATCTCGTCATCTATGGGCCAGGACGATCTCGCAAGTTGTAGACAAGACCTCAAGTCTGCTCTTATCTTAACAGAAGGAATCAACAACGATCTTCTTGAACAAGTTACGACGATGCAGCAGGATCAAGTTATGCATAGAATCTCAAGCTCTGAGTCAGGAGACAACGTCGGGTCGGGAGAAGATGGTGCTGGTGACGGGGTCTGTCTGACGACAGCGGGTGACAACTTCGGCGGCGCTAGCAAACGATCGGAAGGGAAGAAAGCTTCAGGTTGGCTATCGTTTACTATCATCAGACGAGTTGACGTTGAAGTTTTGATGTGAAAGACTCGAAAGAGACAGGTTACATGGATGCGCTGACTGCACAAGAGAAATCTTTGCTCCGCGAGGAGGTGAGCAAACGACGAGGAACGAGTTTCGAATTGATTTCTCGGCAGATCATGAGGGTCGAGATCGCTAGAATCCGTGAAGAGGTTCAGAGAGAAGAGGACAAGTTGAGAGAAGAGATTCGTGAGAAACTACGACGGAGGATTGAGATGGAGGAGGAGGAGAAGATGCAAAAGAACTCTTCCAGGAGGAACGTCAAGAAGGAAGAGACGCCTCGTGGCCTCCAGGTCTCTCCTAATCTTCTCTTGTACGACCTTCTCATGCTCACTCAGATGAAGTCGGCCCTTACCTCCGGTGATCCTAAGCAGAAGAAAGAGGTAATCCTCCTCCTCCACCACCACCATTGTACCCGCCTCCTCTTCTGCTTCCCTTCACTCCTATCTCCTCTCCTCTCCCTTAAGATTTTCTTCACTGTGCAGGTAGAAGACTATGCTGCCTACCTTGGGATCGACGCACAGCAGGAGCCTGAGTACCTCTGGATCGCCGAGATGGCGCTCATGGCGCCCCTTCCACCCGGCTGGACGGAGAACAAGGACTCGACAGGGAACGTCTTCTTCCACAACAGGTCACACCTCTCATCTCCTTCCTCTCCTCCTGATGATGCTGCAAGGTCCATGAGCTTGAGCTCATACGAACACCCTCTTGACCCAGCCTTCAAGTCATACTACAAGAAGTTGAAAGCTGCTCAGAGCAGCAACTGAGTCTAACAGATTCAGGGTTCCTACCTGACCTGATTCTGATTTAGTTCGATCCATGGCAGTTATAAGATGAGTTCGCTGAATGTAAACTAGATCTGGTTGTTTAATGAATACATACTATCTACATCAAGTCACTTTTCGAATATCCGCAACACTCCTCCCTCCGCCTCTATATCCCATCCTCTCCTTCTTCCTTCACTCTATTCACTCTGCCTTCCATCCTCTGCTTCTTCCTTCACTCTGCCTTCCATTCTCTCCTTCAAATCTCCCCTGCTGTCCTCACTTCGCCTCGCCTCTTCTCCCTTGTTCCAACTTGTGTCTCGTAGAGCAAGGAAGCAGGTGTCACATTTTTCCTCTATATTTTTCTATGGCATAAATAAATTTAGAGACTTCTCTGCAGTTTCTACGAACCATAAACTATAAACTTTGTTGGACGCAGTCAAAACTTAACTGAGAATTAAATTGAACTTTTATTGGATGCTACCCTGACAGGGGCGGGAAGAATCCAGGCGAAGGGGGAGATGGAGGGAGCGTAAGTGCGACATCTTAGAGGCGGAGAAGGGATGAGAGGAAGACAAGTCGACATGTTGAAAGTCATGTTGTTCTTGCTCCTCTCTGTTTCCGTTGAGACATCTCCTGCATTCGTGTCTGACGGATCCTTTACTCGGCTTCTCCTGCGAGACGGTGACAGCAACAGGCTTGTTTGTTGTCGGACGGCCCGATCATGCGCCATGGGAATGTCCGGAAACCACGGGATGGAACAGCTCCAATCCCGATTGCGGGAGATGGAGGAGAAATGCCAGCGGCTCGAAGGCGAGCTGAGCGCAGCAAGAGAACAGATGAAGATGTTGGAAGGGGAAGTGAGGCAGGCTGACTTGTCTCACTTGTCGGGACATGCTGTGATGCAGCAACAAGGGTATGTAGAAGTAAAGGTCAGTGCAGATCCTACAAGTTTCGATCAACAAGGGACTGAATGAGCCCCGCAGGAATTGATCGATGTCGTAGAGGCGCTTACCGCCTGCCCGAGTTCGGGAGGCTGCCCATGGACAGCAGAACAAGGGGCGCTGGATGTGTTGGAGGTGATAGCAGTTTCGAGAGCTCATCCTCTTCTCTGACCATGAGGGTGCAGCATGCGCACAGCGAGCTGAGAGAAATCCATGAGGAACTGAGTCTAGGAAGTGCGTCACAACACTTTGCGCTTCAATCCGAGCTCGGGGATCTGCTCTTCAACGCATTTCTGCTAGTGAAGGTGGGGGAGGACGAGGAGAGGGATCCGAAGGTCTAACCTTCCGGTCTCAGATCTGCGAGCGGGATGGCATAGGCGGCTCCACGCTTGCTGGTGCTGCTGCATCAGCCAGCGCCAAGATACGTAGGAGGGCACCGTTTGTGTTCGGGGAGGGAGCAAGGCCGCTGACGCCGGAGGAGGCGTCAGCATTGTGGAAGAGCGTAATCCTTGCTGCTATGAAACTTCTCTTAGTGAACTTGTGAGGTGCAGGTGAAGGAGCAGGAGAAAGCTGGACTAATATCAACCATCCCTCCAACTGCCCTGTCCGATGACAACGGGCTGTAGCAACAAATCCAAATCCACCGGACAGAACGTCTTTCGCACTTGCTTACAGTGAGATATTGGGGAGTGAGAAAGGTTTTCTCCAAATTTACATTCATTTAATATTCACTTGAGTTCTGAACATGTCACATCTACCCTTCCCTTCTTTCTCGATTTCACCGAACTTGCCTGACCACAAAGAAGGGAGTTACGGACTATCTAGGAGTTTCCCGTCCCTATTTCCCCTATCCTGTACATGGCACATAAGTACACCAGAATAAAAATGCGAGGGGAATACCCTCTGTGATTGATGCTGCTCAACAGCCTTCAATATGAATTAGTTGAATGTAAAAGACCCGTATGGCAGTTCAAGTGTCACCTGTAACTGTTCCTTCAGAAATTTGTATCTCGAGTAATCCTCCCTGATAGATCCAACCTCCTGCCAAAATCTGTCAGGGCCAAACAGAGGATGTGCTGACTGTTCTTCACCTGATACGACTGCGGCTTCTGTCCGTGTTGCCTGATGAATTCGTCCTCAAAGCGTCGCAACTTGATCTTCAACGCTCGTTTCTCAGCCTGTCAAGTGTCACAGCCATATCGTACCAACCAATATATCCGAAAAACTTACCTTCAAAACCTTAACGTCTATTTCTTGTAGTTGATCCAAGGCGAGCTGTGAAGATGAAATCACTTGTTCAATCAAATAATCAGTTTTGTGTAACAAACCAGCTTATTTCCATTGTTTGTGTTCGCAGAAAGCGAATCATCACCCTTGCTTGAACTTCGAACATCCAATGTTTGCATGCTTCTCTTTCGTTCCATTTTCACCTCTTCAGCTGCAATGTATGCCTTGAGCTGTTCAATTTCAGATAAGCGCAAATCGGCAACAAGGCTGTGAAGGACCTGTTTATGGAATTCATACAACTTTCTCAAGCATTCCTTGTCCAACCTAGAGGGCTGTTGCCAAATATATGTCAGGAAAAAAATCAAAAGATACCAACTGGACCTGTCTCCCATAGAACTTCGTGAACTGTACATCAAACAGTTTTAGCTCTCTTTTCACCTGTTGCACCGTTAATTGTCATCAACCATCTTCGGTTCGTCAGCTACAGATTCTTTCTGCTGTCGAAGAGATTCAAGGGATTGATCATTGGTCTTTCCCTGAGACCCCATCATAGATACTCGCTTCCATGCATCCCTTGCAAATTCGTAACCTAGGGGGGCAGTGAGATGAGAAGCGAAAGCAACACAGGTGACAGCGATACCGTCAAACGTATTGCTGCCCAGCTGAAATCGAAAGAAAGAATTCAAGAAAGGGGGGTTGTCGTGGAAGAGGCCAATGTTAATTACATTGAGTATTTCATGGTCTATCAGCGATTCAACTTCAACTCCGTGGTGCGCGTGCTTCTCCATCGCAATATCGAATTCAATGTTACTTGTTGTCTTGCATATTACTGCATTTGCAGCAGAGTGTCGGGCTTCAGATCCACTCCATCACCGAGCTACCCATGCCCTTCAGCGTGATGTCGTCGATCAACTTCGCATCTTTTCCCACTCTGCAACAGCACAGCGTCATGACCACGAGGGGGGGTGGAGTCATGAAAGATCAGACTTGTCACAATAATACCAATATCAGCATGACAACCAGTAGTTAGATCATCATATTGTGCTGGAGGCTGTCAAGATTTCTTTAAAAACCATGGTGTTCTCCACAACATCCAATAGTTAGCTAACAGCCGACGATCAAGACGCTATCTTTCTCTTCCGCTGAGCATAAATATCAACCAACAGGAGATAACAGAAGCATTTTTCGTTGTTATTTCTCTCATCTTCTCGCATATCTTATCTCTCTCCATCTCTCTTGCTCTCCTCCCTATCTCGCTCTGATCATTTTCCCCTCGCCATTCAAAAACTCAACTCCGCTACCCTACCCCACCGACCAAATTCTTGTCAGCACGTACAATCAATACCACCCCTACCCCTGTTTTCAACCCACCCCTGAATATGCCCCTCAATTCAACCTAGTAGACCTGATAGAATGCCCCCGTCCATATGGGGATTTTAGTACCCCTACCTCACAATATTCTAATTTGAATAACCCTACCCCTGTAAATGTTCCAGGTAAAATGTTTAAAAATATCAGCTTTGAATTAAAATATTCTTGTGTTGTTTTCAATTCTTATTTGTCACAGCTGGACAGACGGCGAAGCCCGAGGCGGGTCGTGAAAAATCCTCCCGATGTTTGTCGCCATGCTAGGCCGGCGAGGGAGAGAAGCAGGGGAGGTGACCCCTAGACGCCCGTTAGCACAACATGGCTCGGGAACGAGCCATTGACCATGGATACGAACAAGAGGAAAAGAGTAAATGCCAGTGAATCCATTTGTGTACCTAAGACGATTAGTTAGGGTGCCCATCCATTTTCCTACATTCTCTACTGTACAGCGAGAGCTTAAATCTTCGTCAACTATCAGATGTGATCGCTGCCTTCCTCCTCTGAGGTAGTGTTGAATCCAACACGTACTGAAAGGGCTGCGGCCATAGGAATCCAACGCTCCCGAGGTAAAGGGGCTCCCAGGAAGGAGGAAGAAACTGATTTCTTGTCTTGAGGGGGAACTATCAGGGCAAATAGCAGCAAACGAGGTGGGCTTACTTCAGTGTCCAGCCATAGCTTGCTCGCTTGGAAAGCCGACGAGCTGGTGTGAGAGACGACAGCATAGTCAAGCTGCTTCAGCAAGACATCGTCATCTGCGAAACCATCAGACTAGAGTATCAAGAAAGAAACTCTGACTAGCCTCCTTGTTCCACTGTGACACCCTCATGCCCAACGTTGCTCAGTCTGGAGACTGCAGGACCAAGAATCATGTCCGGCATCTGTCCTGTCTGGGATTGAGAGAGATCAGAATTCATTGGAGAGCGATATTGGTAAAACCTGCGCAAGATGAAACAGTGACCAGTCCCATCCATCGGGAAAGAAGTCAAAGTCGCTTCTCTTGATGTGCAAGTACCTGCATGATAGAAACAGCAGAGGAATGAGTTCGAGGACGCATACTCGGTATGCGCTCACGTCGTTCGATTGAACGCTATCCCCGTGTTGATGAAAGTATGGCTCCTGCAAAGTTTCCACGCGTCCTGTTCGGTCACACCAGCATCTCCCGGCATGCATGCCCAACGAACGGTGACTCCCCAACATCTGGGGCAAGCTTCCCTCTTAAGGACGAGGAGATGATCAAGTAGGAGGAGATAGTCTGGGGTGACAACATGGTCTTCTTCCAGGAGCGCAATGTCACCATCCCATGCCTTCGTCTCGGGAACACTGTTCCAGAGCATGTCTTGCAACCAGATCCAGTGAAGCTGCAACCAGACGTCAGGAGACGAAAACAGGTCGAAACCTCCCTCCTGTCCACCTTGACAGCGAGGATCGGATGGTTCTTGATCAGATCCTCATTCACTGGGTGAAAGATGATCCGCAGGGGAGCGAAGTCGACGCTCAGAGCAATCTCAATCATCTCTGCATGCACGCTGTCCATCGACACCACGATGACAACCGAGTCTTCTATCCTCTTCACAGCCTTGAGTCCCTCTATCACCGCACGAAAATATTTCGGCCGCTCATGCACGTAGATGGCTATGGGAACCATCCGGCGGTCGGATGATTGAGAGCTGAGCCCCAGCAGAGGAGCCTTCTCGTTCCACTCGCTCTGGAGCCTCGCAAGCACTCGACCCACCTGCATGCAGGAATCTGGTCCTCCAACATCCGACCTGAAGGTCCGAGCGTCTTCAGAGAAACAATCAACAAGCTCTTGGGGGATCTTGAGCGCATGTGCCTGCATCAGGTTTGCCAAAATTTCAATCTTGCTCCTCCATGCTTGTACGCTAGCCGGTTCCATCCTCGAGGCAATGTTAGTCCTTCGTTCTTCTGATTCTAATAGGCCAGTGGTCAATGCCTCCCATGAGGTTTCTTTTGAGGCTACTCTTCCTACCGTTCTGCGATCAGGAAAGCGTCCAAGCTTGGAAATGTATTCCCTCGTGACATTCCGAAGATGCGTTTCATATAGAGACACGGAATCATCAGACAGCTGAGGGTTTGAGGTAGACAGAGCAAACTCAGTCTGTAGATAAAGTTTGTACGGGTAGCTGCTACATTCGAACACCCCGTTATCTTCACAGCCGGACCTATCACACCATCTCCCTTGCCAGTAGGAATCATTTGCATCCTTGACATGGGAGCACTCTTCGTACGATCTCTTCAAAGACTCCAGGATAGTCAGAGCTCTCTTTCGCAGTCCTACCCCATAAAGATACTCTTCTGAGCTCTCAAATTCTCGTCTTAGCTCAGCTTCTGTCAGTTCCTTATTCACGATATGTCGAGCATAACCAGCCAGTCCTTGAGCATCTGGTTCCCGTCCTAGTACTTGTCGGTACAACATTTGGACAGACTTTCTTGCAGGCCCACACAACTCCTCCCCGCCTTTGAGGCAGAGATTCTTATATTCCTCAGACTCTTGAAGGATCGAACGGAGCTTCCGCACATGAAGCCCATCGTGCAACTCATTCCCGTAGCTCTGTACTCCTGAGGGGTCAACAGGACGGAGCAAAACATCCAGAAACATAGACTCCACCACATTTCTAGCCTTTGACGTGCAGGGTGCCGTAGAGCACTTGGTTCTATACTCGTCTGTGGCTCGGAGTTCTTGGGCCAGGTTTCTGTAGCCTTTCCCGTCTTTCATGTCAGCCACGAAAGCATCAGACTCTGAACTAGATGGCTCTCTTGCTAAAACAAACAGGTAGGCGTCTTTCGCACATGCCATCAAGAATCTCTCTAGGTGCGACCAAATTTTGGACTTTGCGGACTGAACTTCCAGTCTGAGGGCGTCCGAGTAGGATATATCGACAAGCATCTCCTCTGATCCGGTTGAGTTTGCGCAAACTCTCCAGAATTCGGGGCTGCAATCCAGCGATGCCGAGCACATTTCAGAGTTCTCGTCAGTCTCTGAGAACGACTTCAGGTCTGCATCCTCGACATA